CAGGCTACAGAAGCCTGATGATGGCAGATGAGATTCTGCCGAAACGTTGCTACAACTTTAAAAGCACAACTACAATGACGTGGGAAAATACCTAAACAAAGCTGAATAATATATATATATATCTGTGTGTGTGTGTGTATGTGTATATGTATATGTATATATAATTTCTGGTATATATTTATGTATGTATACAGCATGTGTACGTGTGTCTTATGTATGTGTTTGGGTAGGTATACACTTTCTCTTGAGAGCAGACAATAGAATTTCATTTTTTAATGTGGGCTGGTGTGCTCGTAGTAAAAAAATGACAAAGTTCTGCTCTCCTCTCCTCTCCTCATTTCATCTCATCTCATCTCATCTCATCTCATCTCATCTCATCTCATCTTACATTATCTTAACGCAGCTGGGATTTCTAATGCACATTTCTAATATGATTTTCTCTCCTTCAAATATCTTTTGTTTGTTTAATGAAGGTTTTTAAAGACTAGCCTCCATTCCTTGATCTAACTGGTCCCACTTCTTGAAAATCCACACAACAACAACTGTCTCTCTCTTTCTTTTTCACACTCATACACTCATACACACAGACACCCTTCCTACATTTTCCTCCTCGCTCTTTCTCTCCAGCAGCACCTAGACAGAGTGAGAAGACATTAAAAAAAAAGGAGGTGGGAGAAAGGGGAAAGCTCTCTTGTGTTCATTTAGTTTTGAGAAATCCTCTCCCCCCTCCTTTTGCCCAGTGTGTGGCAGGATCAGGTTCTAATTTCTCACTTCTTGACCATGACCAGCAAAAACACTTGCTTTTCCTCACCTATCGCATCTCACCCAATGCTGAAGTTTTTGAGATGTGAAGGCCTTAGCGTTTTCCCATGTGTTTCTGTATGTGTAAATCATCTGGAAGGCTGTTGAGAGGACTGATGTGGAGGTTAGGGTTAGTGTCTAACCCGTTTACTCAAAATTAGCCAGGCTTTTTTGCCCCTTCTCTTGTCTCCCTGTGATTGCAAGATTCTTCCTTTGAAGACCTATCATTTGAAGAAACTGGGAATCAGTAGCAATTTTTCTCATTATTATTTGAAAGTAAATATTGGCTGTGCAGTATTTTGCAACCATATGGCAAAGCCAGATCTGCTTGTTATTAACCTTGTCATTTTGCTGGGGCTGGGGGGGGGGGGGAAGCAGCCTCTTGAAAGCCTGAGAAAGAAAAGGCCCTGCCCCTGACCACCATTTCCCTCTGCTATAGTTTTTCTCCTCTTCTTGCATACACATCAAACTAGCATTCCCTGCCTTCCCGAGCCTGAGGCCGCCCACCCCTCGGTGTACAGATTGGATGTGCGTTTAAATGACCCACATAGCCAAATGGCCATGGAAAAGTATCCCCCTGTGAAACGCCTGGGATGAAGAGGTGGGGGAAGAGCACTGGCAGCAGAGGAGCACCGGTGGAGACAGCTGAGTAAGAATACCCATGTTGGGTCAGCAGTGCTGGAGTGCCCGAGAAGAAATGGGCATGTTAAGACATCCATGTTCAATTGTCCTAGACCCTTCCTAGAATTTAATTCATGTATGCAGTTCTGAAAATCCCTACTCTGATAACTACAAATCTTGTATCAGATGAACAATCACTTTTCTTGTATTATTTTATCATCCAATGAAATGCCAGACATTTTTAATATGTATTTTAGTTTTCTAGGATTTGCAGTTCCAAACTGGGGGCTCAAAAGAGGAACTGAATCAATCCCTTAGGATGAGTAAGAAATAAAGATAAAAAAATAAATGATAGGATTTGCTGGGCAACATTATTGGATAATTCTTTCTTTGGAATATTACTTCAGGATGCACATATATGATCCCATTTAGCTGAACACTTAATCAGAAAGAAATATAGGTTTGGCCCTTTCCTCTCTTAGTTCTTGGCATAATTTAGAAACATATTAATTGAATTTTAGCCATTTATTTATTATTCTGTGATTCTGAGGCTTTAATAGATTGTTTGCTCATTTCAATCATAGTTTTTTTTTCTCCCTCCAGGTTCTTCCTGTGTCTTCCCATTTGTCTTTAATGGGAGGCCATATTCATCTTGCACTAGAGATGGAGCCATTGATGAGCAGCTCTGGTGTAGCACAACATCTAATTATGACACAGATGGCCTGTGGAAGCACTGTGTTCTTCAAGGTAAGTAATCCAGAATCCAATCAGAAATGGATAATCCAGAACTCTGCTATCTTCTTCTCTGGGCAATAGTTTATAGGTTAAATTTGAACAACTGGCTCATGTCTTCTAAGCAATGTATGAAATATAGCATTAACATCACAGAAGATAGGGCCACTGTTTGGCATTGTTATAAGCCTCTCATCCCCAGGCCTAATCCCTAGTGTTCTGAAGTGTTATCATGATAGTTGGCTGGAGAGAAGAGCAACAACATTGTCATTAGATAAAAGTAGTTGCCTCTACAACAGATGCTGGGATTTGGTATCAGTGGCACCACAAATTGCTGGAAAATGCAGTGGTATGTGCCAAGGAGTCTGTACTATGTTCTCTAAACTCATCTTAGATCTGATGAGAAAAAATGCCCAATTGGCAGCACTCAAATGAAAAATTATCTGCTTGAGTGTAATACTTTTATGAATAAATGGAGAGGCAGCATCATTCTTTCATCTCAGGTACTAAAAGGTGCCAGACCAACTCTCAAAAAGTAGTCAGTTCATGTAATTTCTAAATCCAACTGTTAGATCTGGAGGAGTGGGCGCAAGGAATGGAGACGAGGCATCGAATAGTGACTCAACTCTTTATTAGTGACTTCAGAAAGAGAACAACACGCTAGGGCAACAGCAGCTCCTTTTATAGAGCTGGCTGCTGTCACAGTGTCCAATGATTCAAGTTTGCTGCGCTGGAAGCGTCCAATCAGCGGCGACCCGCTATCAGCCAATCAGACTAGTCGGAAACGACCAATCACGACCTGCTAACTGCGGGACAATGAGAAGTGCAGGATTACGAGCCTGCTGCGAAAGTAAAACTATTGGGATTTAAAACCAATGCGTTTGCTTAGTTCGTAACACCCCTCCCCCCTAGGTTCCGTCTGAGGGGTGGGGTGATGTATTCTTCCAAATAGGCAGGTCGTTTCACCTGTCTACTCGATTTGCGTTGCTCCACCGGTCTTTTCTCTGGCTCTGGTTCCGGTGTGCTGCGTGCTGGACTTGATGGCAACGATAGTCCAACCTCTTCGCTGGGTGACTCGGGGTTGTCATCTCTGCTTCCGTCACGGCTGTCATTTGGATTCCTTGGATTTGCTTCAGTTGCAGTACTGCTTTGTGGCGACGCGATCCCCTGGCTTGGTTCTCCTTCGGCAGGTGAGTATCCCCAGGTTGGTTGTGCTGGTTGCTGGTTTTCGCTTACCGGGTCGTATGCTAATTCTCTTCCGGTCCCTTCGGTTTCCCTTCCCCCCCCCGGTTGGAAATTCAGGGCTTGTGATGGGGGTAGGTGCTAGTCGGGAGCGAAGTTGGTCGATGTGGCGCTTCCACGTTTTCCCGTCATCGGTTTGTAAATGGTAGGATCGAGGGCCCATAGGTTGGGTTACGGTAGCAGGGACCCACAATGGGTTGCCGGAATTTTTTTTTGCAAAGACTAGGTTGCCTACCTTGAATGTGCGACACCTGCTGCTGGACCCCAGGGGTTTTTCTGGCATGTAGGCAGGGTGTAGGCGATCAAGATGTGAGCGAAGTTTTCGACCCCTGAGTAGTTCGGCTGGGGTTCTGTTTGTGGTGCTGCTTGGGGTGATATGCTGTAGGAGAAGCATCCTGGTCACCTTGTCATCGATGTCCCCATGTTCCATCTTGTGTACCGTTTTCTTTATGAATTGGACCATGCGCTCAGCCCTGCCATTGGCTGCCGGGTGAGCCGGTGAAGTTAAAGCGTGGCGTATTCCTCGGTCAGCTAGGTACTGTTCAAATGCCAGAGCAGTGAACTGGGGGCCATTATCTGAGACCAGGACATCTGGCAACCCGTGCGTAGCGAATAGTCTGTTTAGTTTTTTGACAACTGCTTCTGTGGTGGTGCTCTTCATTTTGTGGACCTCCAGCCAGTTGGAATAGGCGTCTACTGTTATAAGAAATGTGTGCCCCTTGGTGGGTCCCGCAAAATCGATGTGGATACGGGACCAAGGACCTCGAGCTGTTTCCCATTCAGTCAGTGGGGCTTTTGGTGGAGCTGAGCGAGTTTCCTGACATTTGGAGCAGGTGGCCACCCAGGTCTCTATTTGCTTATCTATACCTGGCCACCATGCATAGCTCCTTGCCAGTGCCTTCATGCGCACGATGCCTGGGTGTCCATCGTGCAAAAGTTTTAGAACTTTATGCTGTAGTCTCTCTGGAATGACAACTCTGTCTCCCCACAAGATGCATCCTTTTTGGGAGAAGAGTTCTGTCTGTCAGTTTTTGAACAGTTTAATGATGTCACTGGGTTCGTTGTCAGGCCAACCTCTTTCCACCCAGCTGAGGACTCGTGCCAGACAAGGATCTTTCTTTGTTTCTGAGGCGATGTCCCGTGCAGTCAGGGGTGGTGACGGAAGAGTTTCTATTTGTAGTGCAGCTAGGGTTGGAGCTGGGTCGCTTATGACTTCTGGAAGCAGAGAACGGCTCAAGGCGTCAGCGTGGGGAATGGCTTTTCCGGGGCGGTGTAGTAGTTGGTAATTGTAGACAGCCAGAAACTCTGACCAACGTGTCATCCGGGGTGATAAAATGTGGGGAGTTGGTTTGTCTCCCGCTAAGATGCCAAGTAATGGTTTGTGATCAGTGATTATGGCAAAGGGTCTTCCGTATACATACTCATGGAATCGTTTGATCGCAGACACGATAGCGAGAGCCTCTTTATCGAGTTGGCTATAGTTTCTCTCAGTTTTAGATAAGGTTCTTGAAAAAAACGCAATAGGTGCCTCAGTTCCGTTTGGCAGGACGTGGCTCAAGATGGCTCCTACTCCAAACGGTGAAGCGTCGCAGGTGACAGTTAAAGGTAAAGTCTCGTTATATTGCATTAATACAGCATCTGAAGTTAAAAGGTCTTTAACTTGCTGAAAGGCTCATTCTTCCCGGTGTCCCCAGATCCAGGATGCCTTCTTGTCGAGGAGCCTATGCAGGGGCTCAGCAACGGTTGCTTTCTGGGGCAAGAAGATGTTATAAAAATTAATGAGTCCCAGGAAGGCTTGGAGATCTGTTTTATTCCTAGGTCTTGGGGCGTTTTTTATGGCAGCTAGTTTTTTCTCAGTAGGGTGAATTCCTTGTTTGTCAAGAAGGTACCCCAGGAATTCAACCCTCTCAGTACATAGTTGGCACTTGTCTTTCTTGACCTTCAGGCCAGCGTCTTTGAATTTCTGGAGAACCATTCTGAGTCATTTTTCTAATAGGCTTCTAGTGGGGGCAGCTATCAAGACATCATCGAAGTAGGGCACAACCCCTTTTATGCCCTGTAACAGTCTCTCCATCAGGCTTTGGAAAATGTCCGGTGCTACGCTTACTCTGAATTGGAGTCTATTACACTTGAATGCACCCCTGTGCGTGACTATGGTTTGGGCTTCTGCAGTCTGTGCATCTACGGGCAGTTGCTGGTACACCTGGGCTAGGTCCAATTTTGCAAATATTTTTCCACCTCCCAAGGAATGAAGGAGGTGTTGGACCACCAACATCAGGTACGGGGTAAGCGCTCTGCTGAAGCGCGTGATTTAGGGTGGCCCGGTAGTCCCCACAAATTCTTAAGGATCCGTCAGGTTTTCTGGGGGTTACAATTGGGTCTCCCATCGGGCGTGGTCAATCAGTTCCAACACGCCCTGTGCTATTAATTTGTCCAATTGTTCATCAATTTTTGGCTTGAGTGCAAATGGCACTTGACGAGGCTTAAGGCAAATGGGCGCAACATCAGGGTTGAGATTAAATGATATGGGGGATCCTTTGTACTTGCCTAGTTCCTCGGTAAACACGTCCTGAAATTCCTGGACGAGGGCCGCTTCCCAGTCATCGCTTACGGTCTGGTGTATGCCTGCTAGTTCAATTCCTAGCGGCACGAACCACTGCAAGCCTAGCAAGCTGGGTCGATCTCTATCGATGATGGTAAGAGGAAGAGTTGCTGTGTGGTCTTTGAAAGATACTTGGACGTGGCGGCAACTGGGATTCTGTTCCCTTGGTAGTCCTTTAATATGATTTTTTGAGTGCTGAGGTCCTGGCAATGGATGTCAGGGATCAGCTGTTTGAGGGTTTTCCAGGAGATCATTGATAAGGACGACCCGGAGTCGACCTCCATGATACATGGTTGATTTGCAATGGTGACCTTCACTCGGACTTTCCTTGCATCCAGGGATGAAGCGTGGCCGATGGTGATGGTTTGATGGGTCTCTTCTCATCTAGTTGAATTGGAGGGTGCTCTATTTCTGTAGTGGTAGTGGCTCCATTGGTTGTTTAGGCGGTCCTGGGTCATTGGTGGGGTGCCTGTTGCCTGCCGGAAATTATATTCTCTTCGGTTTGGGCTGGATCCTCGTTTGCTTCTGCATACTTTTGCGATGTGGCCCCTCTTTCCACAGGAATGGCAGAGTGCGTCTAGGAATTTGGAGTCTGACCGTGGGTGATTACCCCCGCATCCAGCACATTGCTGCAAAGAATTAGGGTTCCGCTGGTCTCGCTGGTTGCGTTCTGACCTGAGGCGGTTGACCTCCTCTTCCTCGCTTTCTGATGAGGATTCGAGGTCTTCATGGTGGGTGGTTGTTGTGTGCTTCTCAGCGAAAGGCATAGTGTCACTGGCGAGTTGGCGGTGCGGTGCGTTGGCTCGGCGCATTCGAGCGGCCGATTTCCTGGTTGCTTCTGCTGCAGTAGCCTCGGCTATGACATCTGCGAGGCCAATGTCCCCCTTCGCCATAATTTTGCTCTGGGTCGTAGGGTCTTCCAGGCCCAGAACGATTCGGTCTCTCAAGGCTTCCTCGAGGTTTGCGAAGCCACAGAGTCCCGCCAGGTTCCTGAGATCAGCGATGAAGTCTCCAACACTCTCGCTTTTCTGTTGGTCCCTCTGGTAAAACTCGTGTCTTCTGATGAGTGTTGGTACCGCTGGTGCATAATGGGCCCAGAGGATCGGCGCGAGGTTGTCCCAATCCATTGTCTTGACTTCAGCCGGTTTCACAAGTGCTTTTGCCATTTTGAAAATGGCAGGCCCGCAATGGGTCAGGAATACAGCTCGTTTTTTGCCAGGCGTAGCATCTTTTAGATTGTTGGTCTCCAGGAACATCTGGAACCTGTCCATATACGAGTCCCAGTCTTTGTTAGCCGGGTCAAATGGAGCGGGTGGTATGGCGCTGCTGGTCATTCTGTTGCTAGCGGGTGCGCTCTTAGCCACGTGCTCTGCTTGGTGCTCAGCGAGTGTTCAGTCAGCTCTATTGTCTCCGCATCCCACCCTCGTCACCAGTGTTAGATCTGGAGGAGTGGGCGCAAGGAACGGAGACGAGGCATCGAATAGTGACTCAACTCTTTATTAGTGACTTCAGAAAGAGAACAACACGCTAGGGCAACAGCAGCTCCTTTTATACAGCTGGCTGCTGTCACAGTGTCCAATGATTCAAGTTTGCCACGCTGGAAGCGTCCAATCAGCGGCGACCCGCTATCAGCCAATCAGACTAGTCGGAAACGACCAATCATGACCTGCTAACTGCGGGCCAATGAGAAGTGCAGGATTACGAGCCTGCTGCAAAAGTAAAACTATTGGGATTTAAAACCAATGCGTTTGCTTAGTTCGTAACACCAACAGAGATCAGGAGAGACAAAGGATAATTTGGCCTTAAAAAACAAGTAATCCTGTCGTAATTCAGAGTCTGAGTAGTGGAATATTCTAACTGAAAAATCCCGAAATGTAGAAACTTCCGGACTGATTTAACAAATTATTATTATTATTATTATTATTATTATTATTATTATTATTATTATTATTATTATTATTATTATTATTATTATTATTGTTGTTGTTGTTGTTGTTGTTTGTAATTGAAAGATTCACAGTCTAAAACTGATGGGAACTTAATAATTCAAGTCTAACCAAGGACCTAAGAACTATTAAAGTGGTATCTAGGAATATAAGTAGTTCCAAGCAGGGTGGAAGGTTTTTTTTTTTTTTGTAAAATTAGGGATTTGGGTATGATAATTGCAATAATTTCAGATATTGAGTTAGTCTTTTAGGTATTGTTCTATGTGCTCCACTGATGATTTGTATAACAACAGATTTCTTTTTCTGTAAACGTCAATCTGCAAGTCCTGGGTTTTGTAATTTTTTTCCACTGTTTTTCCTCAATCCTAGCATCACCAATATAGCAGATTCAATGAACTAGATTTTTTTCCTTTTAAATAATTGTGCTATTAGTCATGTTATTAGTAAGATGTCTCTTTGTTTGGATTTTAAAGTCTCATATGATCTTAACCCACTCATTTTTCTCAAACCTTCTCAACCAGACAGTCCCCAAAGTTTTTGCTACCTTTGAATCCAAAGCTCTGACAAAATTGTCAATAAATAATTTTGGAAACTTGGTCGTGATGTTGTTTGTAATCAGTTTGTGAAATTTTGCTTCAGCAGCTGATCAAATGGTCAGTTGTTTCATCAATTTCACTACAAAAGCAACATTTGCTATTGTTTATTACATGTTGAATTTTTGCCTTCATTAAGTGAAGTACAGTTAGTTCGCAAATCTTGTTTTTGAGCCACTAGAATAAATTCTTCAGTTTCTTTCTTTAACACTCTTGATTTGATCTTAACCAACTCCATTTGTTTTTTTTAAATCAGTTTTTCTTCACATAAGTTTAAATTCATTTATTTGCCTTTAGATCACTCAGTTGACAATGATGAATGGAAAAGACAAGATATAGAATTGAATATAGGAAATATATAAGCAAGCATAATTCTTAGCTATCTCTTGTTCACCTTTCTTTTCATCTACATCTATTCTTTCCATGTTTTCAGAGCATGGAGGCAATTCTGGAGGCAAATCCTGTGTGTTTCCCTTTGTCTACAAAAACCAGACATTCTACACATGTACCAAAGAGGAGAAGGGAAGATTCTGGTGTGCCACCACAAGAAACTATGACAAGGATCTTGAGTGGAGCTATTGTGCTGACACCAGTAAGAACAAAATATTGGATGCTGTAATTATTTGTGTTACAGAGGGATATAAGAGATCAAGATCTTCAAGACTCCAATTTCAAAAGCTTCTTTTCATTATTAGTTCAGGCCTGGGAGACTAAGTGTTTCTTCAAGAGTAAGAGAATACTAAGACGCACAAACTGTCTGCTAGAAAACATTTAGCAATGTGTGAAAATTCGTCTGCTAAAGTAATATGACTAAAAATGAATACAGTATAACTTGGAGAGAGAGAATGATTTAGATATTTCAGTTGCAAGAATTAATTTAGTTGGGCATGAAATTTTAAGAAAGAAAGAAACTGGCCTTAGATATGAAGGACACAAAGAATAATTAAAAAATTATTAGGAAATAGAAACCTGGTATTTGAGAGCAGAAAAACTTAATATATAAAAGTTGCAGCAAAGATTATAAGATAATGGCAGAGGGAAGCGGATCTTGCTTAGCCATGGAGTTTTGAAAGTGAAAGCAAACGAAAAATTGTGGCCTAATTTTCACACTCATAATTCTAATCCATATAAGAAATTTCTGATTGTATAGTAAATTGCGATTTGTGAGCTGGTCCCTATGATGTCCATTTTGTATAATCTGCCCTGATTACCAGATTTAATTATTGGGTTAATTCAGATGCTGATATAAACTTGTAAAGCCAAGGAGAGTAATATGTTTCCATTTGCAGCATTGAGCTCCCTCTCCTTCCTTCTTTATAGACTCTGGGGAAATGGGGGTGGAGGTGGATGAGAGGATGTTATTTTTTATGATGACAACTACCATGCAGAATCCTTGGTCCAATTAAATGTATCAAGCCAAAACATTCTGGGAAAGTGTGACTTTTCACAAAAGATTTTGATTGAATGTTCATTTGTTTTGGATTAATTGTCTTCTGGTTTCCAGTTCCTTTCCCAGAAAGGACGTGTTGCTGATATTCTTAATATTAATATTTGAGTTGTTACTTGATCTGTTTTAGAAAAGATAGAAAAAGATAGCAATATATATTTCTTTTTGCAAATAATGTTTTAGCTGCCCTGGATTTCTTTTTTATGATGTATATGTGTGTGTGTGTGTGTGTGTGTGTGTGTGTGTGTGTGTGTGTGTATGTATATGTATATTACGCACACATACATACACATATATACATACACACACACACACACACACATATATATATACTGTATACACTGTATATGCTGAATATACTGTGTGTGTGTGTGTGTGTGTGTGTGTGTATGTAACACTGGCTAGATGAAATTTACAACCCCCCCTTAAAAAGGGGGACATTTTCTTGTCTCTGTCTAAATATGCTTCTAAGAGGAAACTAATATTTGTTTCTGCACAGGATTAGATGCCAATCCTAAGGGACCCTGTGTCTTTCCTTTCATCTTCAACCTCACGTCTTATTCATCATGCACAACAGATGGGATTTCTAATAAAAAGCCATGGTGCTCCCTTACCAAGAACTATGATATTGACTTTCAATGGACCTATTGTGAACCTTCTGGTAGGATGGTGGCATGCAAAGGATTTATTGTCTATTTCTTTGTGCTGAGTGAGGTTATGTGTACATGAGGTTGGATAGTGGGGGTGGGGGGTTGGAGAAGGAGTAGAACATTAAGACAGGATCTTAAAAAATGAATGGATAATCTGAAGCAGGCACTCTGTTTTGTATAAGAGACTTTTTAAAAATATAAGAAATTATAGTTGTTACTTTGGACATAGGGCCATGAGAAAGCAGGCATATTGTTTTTGTGGTTCTTGGAACATATATTTTTTGGTTGACTTTTATATTTATTGCATGATCAGCACTTGAGATGTCAAGTTTGATGTGAATAAAGCTAAGTTTTCCATTCCTGTATAAAGGAATTATTCAGCTACAGAGGTTATACAGGTAGATCTCACTTAATGACTGCCCTGTTTAGTAATTGTTCATAGTCACAGCAGCACTGAAAAAATAACTTTATGACTAGTCCTTGCATTTATAACTGTTGCAGCATCCCTGCAGTCACATGATCAACATTTGAGTCCTTTGACACCAGTGAATGTTTATGACCATTGCAGAGCCTTATGGTCACATGATTGTCATTTCTGCAGTTCACAGCTCAGCTTCCCACAAATAGAATCAATGGAGAAGCCGACACAAACCATGGGCATACTGTGTGCCGCTTAAGGGCTGTGGATGATTTGCTTAACAACTGCAGTAGAAGTGGCATTATAAGTCCAGCTTAGTCGTATGATTAGTCTCTAAACAACTATATCACTTAGCAATAGAGTTGTGAGTCCCAATTGTGGTCATTAGGAGAGGTGCACCATATATATGAACATTTAGTTCTTCTAGTTATAAATGAGATGGGAGTAAGATGGAGAAAGAGAGAATTATTTATTTTGTTCAATACCCAAGTACATGGAGAAAGATAATTCCAACATAAAATAGATGATGAGAGTTCTCTGCTTGAATGCTCACTCAAATAGAAGAAAATTAGCTACTGGAATCTAATCACTACTTATACTCTGATACTGGATTAATCTACAAAGTCTTGGAGTTGGATGAAAAAAGATATAAATAAGTTTCTCCCTGCTATATACACACACACACACACACACACACACACACACACACACACACACACACGTGTGTGTGTAATATGTATATATGTCCATATGTACACTGCTCAAAAAAATAAAGGGAACACAAAAATAAGACATCCTAGATATGAATGAATGAAATATTCTTATTAAATACTTTGTTCATTACATAGTTGAATGTGCTGACAACAAAATCACACAAAATTTATCAATGGAAATCAAATTTAGCAACCCATGGAGGTCTGGATTTGGAGTTACACTCAAAATTAAAGTGGAAAAAAACACTACAGGCTGATCCAACTTTGATGTAATGTCCTTAAAACAAGTCAAAATGAGGCTCAGTAGTGTGTGTGGCCTCCATGTGGCTGTATGACCTCCCTACAATGCCTGGGCATGCTCCTGATGAGGTGGCAGATGGTCTCCTGAGGGATCTCCTCCCACACCTGGACTAAAGCATCCCCCAAGTCCTGGACAGTCTGTGGTGCAATGTGGCGTTGGTGGATGGAGCGAGACATGATGTTCCAGATGTGCTCAATTGGATTCAGGTCTGGGAATGGGCGGGCCAGTCCATAGCATCAATGCCTTCATCTTGCAGGAACTGCTGACACACTCCAGCCACATGAGGTCTAGCATTGTCTTGCATTTGGAGGAACCCAGGGCCAACCGCACCAGCATATGGTCTCACAAGGGGTCTGAGGATCTCATCTCGATACCTAATGGCAGTCAGGCTACCTCTGGCGAGCACATGGAGGGCTGTGCGGCCCCCTAAAGAAATGCCACCCCACACCATTACTGACCCACTGCCAAACCGGTCATGCTGGAGGATGTTGCAGGCAGCAGAACATTCTCCACGGCGTCTCCAGACCTTGTCACATGTGCTCAGTGTGAAGCTGCTTTCATCTGTGAAGAGCACAGGGTGCCAGTGGTGAATTTGCCAATCTTGGTGTTCTCTGGCAAATGCCAAATGTCCTGCATGGTGTTGGGCTGTAAGCAGAACTCTCACCTGTGGACATTCAAAAGTGACCAAACCATCAGCCAGAAAGCATAGGAACTGAGAAGTGGTCTGTAGTTGACACCTGCAGAACCACTCCTTTATTGGGGTTGTCTTGCTAACTGCCTATGCTTTCCACCTGTTGTCTATTCCATTTGCACAACAGCATGTGAAATTGATTGTCAGCGTTGCTACCTAATCAGTGTTGCTACCTAAGTGGACAGTTTGATTTCACAGAAGTGTGATTGACTTGGAGTTACATTGTGTTGTTTAAGTGTTCCCTTTATTTTTTTGAGCAGTGTATATATGTATACATATCAGTGGTGGGATTCAACTTTTTTTACTAGTGGTTCTGTGGGCGTGGCTTGGTAGGCGTGGCAGGGGACGTATACTGTAAAATCTCCAGTCAGAGGTGGTATTTGCTGGTTCTCTGAACTACTCAAAATTTCCGCTACCGGTTCTCCAGAACTGGTCAGAACCTGCTGAATATCACCTCTGATACACACACACACACACACACACACACACACACACACACACACACACA